GCCTTCAGGTCGAGAAATACAGCTATTGTCGGGCGTCTGTAAGCATGCCTATGTTCCAGGACCTGGCGCAGTGTGAATATTTGGTCGATACATCCACGGCCAGGTCTAAAGCCTGCCTGGTTTTCTCGGGCTTGCTGTGGAGTAGTCTGGAAGTGCCATGTGTACAGAATTGTTATTCGCAATGCACGCAGTTGTGCATCCCCTGATCTCAGGGAATCGGACAGCACTGAATTCAACAGTAGATGAGCGCTCAGCACATCCCATCTTCAGATGAGGTTCAGAAAGCCGGTCTGTAGTTTTAGGCAAGAAGTTTGTCCCTAACTTTGAAGTTGGATAGTTGTCATTTTTTCGGTCCAGTAGCCGCGTTTATTCATTGATGGATCTTTGAATTTCCGTTTTGTCACTGTTGTTCCTCTGATGGTACCTCACTATGGGTCCATTGTGGTAACGCTGAATTGATACACTGTCTTGACTTGTGGTTCTTGATTATGTGTTTGTGGATTTCCGTTTGTGTGTAGCTGATTATTACTCTATATTTATGGTGATATAACGACCTCTTCCGTCTGAGTGATATGAAGCTACATTGTGACTTACAGACAGTGTATTCCCATCCTTCTGGAATAAATATTTCACCTACCAGCTTTTTTGTGAGTTCCAAATCTCACTTTGAGTCAGTTTCAAGAATAAGACGGACCAATCTAAATAACTCTGGCGAAGTAATAAAAGAGTTGGTTCCACTACTATTCCATCGTCTTGCAACTCTATTGCATCATGTAATTCAGATCTCAAAGAGTCTACATGCCTTACATTTTTCGTCAGAATTGAAGACATTATGTCGGTAATTAACAATAACGTCAGGAAGAATACAAAAGAAATGGGCAATATTATGTCCACGGTGGATGGAATCAAGAGTGTAGTTGAAGACTCTCAACCCTTGACGTAGCGACGTGGTTACAGATCATATCGGAAAAGCTTAAGCTCCAACAGACTACCTAGGAACTGAAGTAATGTGGCTGACCTCTCAGCACCCTATATTATGGGGTGTTCTGGGGGGCCATACCCTTGGATGTCGTCAGGAAAAAGGTACTAAACTCACGTTGCATGACAGCCATGTACAGTGACCACAAACGCCTACACAAGAAAGTAGCACGGTTGATTTGCTCTATTCCTTTCAAGTTCACTTCCGCATGTAATGCTAAAGGGTTCATTAACCTGTAGGATCACATACGACTAAATAACAATCTGAAAACTATTACAGTCGCACCAGGCAAAATCCCATGTCAGCCGAATCCCAATTGGAAGTTCTCAATAAGGAACTCTCGACTTTAAGAAACAACCTAAGACCTACAGCAGCAAGTGAACGAACTCCGCTAGGGGATTCTCTTAGTTTAGGCAGTTCTTGTCAGCATATCGGACATAATATGAGATATGCGGATATAAATGAGACGATCTACGGTTGAGGGTTCTAAAATTGACCACAGTGTAAGATAAAAGACTTGGTCATTCCAGTGCTTTTTTGTGACAGATGCATTGTTTGGCCGTATGCCCCACACCTTTCGTCGGAACTGAAGATATCATATCTATCATTAGTAACGGTATTGATGACCGCAGGAAAGAAACAGAAAATATTAGGACCATAATGGAAGAAATCCAGAGAATTTTCATCCATTAGGATATCTTCATGGAAAGCATGAGAACTTAGTTAAAAGCCACATAGAGAAAGCAGAAAATTTAAGACTATTAAGCAACGGAGGTAATGAAGAGATCATCTCTTCAGATGCGCAAGCGAAACCTCGCTACATAAAGATCAGAAGCTCGTGAAGAGAGAAAATTTCAGACGCATGTTTTCTGATGGCCAAGGCGCTGCCAATACACACACCCGAAAAGCAGGATTTTCACCAAACTCCTTTCAGAAATGAATACCACAACAATTCAAAAGTGTATCATACAAGACATCTTCGAACAGCGTTTCTTTAATCACAGGTGTCATAATGTGATGCAAGGTAGCGTACCGAACACTTAAATGTCCTACATATCACAAACGCCTGACCTCTGTTTAACTGCTCATCCAAATAATCCTAGTCGGTAATTCTCAAGCAGACAGATAGCCTGTCAGAACCACCGCACTAAAGAACCGCAACGAATTGTTTTCAGATCATGCATAATATATGCGACCAACGGCGTTTAGGAACCACGCCTGGTAAACTAGTTCACTGGTTACTAGCCGGTCCTAAGCCCGGGTATATAAGGAAGGTTGGACTTAGAGCTAGCAACCCTACCGCGTAAAACCAATCCAACCGCTGAAGAAACTTCAAAGCACAGACAGAATATAAAAAATAAAATCAAACTTATTCCTCGCTGGAATCGGAGAGACGAAATGACGCCGGTCGGTGAAAGCCTTTGGGAAGCCAATTGGCTGTGTCTTCTCTCGATGAAGGCGAAAGTAAAAGTGGGGATATGGGATGTCCGCACTATGTTTGAACCCAGTGAGGCCGCCCAGATTGCAAAGGAGATGAGAAGGTATAGCATAGAAGTGCTAGGAATCTGCGAAAGCAGGTGGACTCTCCCAACTATCAACTGGAGAGTCAATAATCTACTCCGATGTTGTCACCCAGACGACAACCACGAGCACACGGAGGGAGTGGCTATCATGATGTCTCCGAGAGCATCGCAGGCTCTTATACAGTGGGAACCAATCTCCTCCAGGATCATAACAGCAAGGTTCAACTCAAAAGGAAGGGAAGTCACAATCATACAGTGCCACACTACGCACCCACAAATAATGCAGATGAAGAGAAGAGGGAGGAATTCCACAGACAACTGCAATCAACACTGGACAAAACCTCAGCTGGCGACATCAAAATTCGAATGGGCGATATGAATGTCAAATTCGGAGCGGACAACACAGGAAGAGAACTAACCATGGGTCAAGAAGCACTCGGTGAAATGAACGGGAATGGAGAAATGTTTGCAGAATTCTGTGCATTCAAAGATTTGGTGATTGGAGGCACTGTGTTCAAGCACAAGGATATACACAAAGCGATATGGACTTCACCAGACACCAGGACACACTACACTAAAAATCAGACCGACTTCATCTCAATTTGAAGAAAGTGGAGACGCAGCCTACTGGATACAAGGTCAAGTAGGGGAGCCGATGTAGACTCAGACCACTATCTAGTGCAAGAAACCTTCCAAATCAAATTGAAAGCCTTAAAGGAAGTTGGTGATAGACCATAGTCCAAGTAAAACACTCGGAAACTGAAAGACGAAAGTGCAAAGGAAATCTTCACGTCAGCCGTCAAGACAAAATGGGAGGTATCGAGCAGCATCCCTGAAGAAACCTGTATGGATGAGTACTGGAACTCTTTGAAAACTATATGAAAAAAACCTGTATAACCCTATTAGGAAGGAAGAAGAAAGAAGATAAGGAATGGATCTCGATGGACACATGGAAGCTGGTAGAGCAGGGAGAGGAGGATGGTGAAGCAGAAGATAAACCAGTGCAAGGATGAACAACGACAAGAGGAACTGAGCACAGTGTACAAAACACTACACTGAACAAAGAAGTGAAGCAGAGTGCACGGAAAGAAAAAAGACACTTCTACGAAACACTGGCAAGTGGAGCACAACAGGCTGCAGGTAAGAGAGACCTGACAACATTGTATCAAACAACCAGGTTACTATCTGGTAGGGAAGAGATCAATACCGATGAAACCAATAAAAGATGATGAAGAAAATATAATTACCAAGGAAGAGAAACGATGAGCTGGCCACTTCAAAAAGCTCTTGAATCCACCGCCACCTGCAGACACAGAACTACCAGTGAACACGACGAAAGTCGAAGTCCTGAACGCCATAGGGCTACTGAAATACGGGAAAGAAGCAGGACCAGATGCAATCTCACCAGGGATCTCCCCGCCAGGAAATTATATGGTTCGCGTTGAGTTTGCTTTAGTTGCCTGCAAGTTACAAAACTGAAACATGAAGACTGTAAGGCAGGCAGCTGAAAGTAGGTCAATGTTGCATGACCATAAAGTTCCAAAAACACAACCGTTCTGAAAGTATAACAGTTTTCAGTCATATCTATATTGAGAATAGTTTCCACTCTCCTTTGAGTCAGACGACCAACCTGCACACTCCAACCGTGTGGCTTCGAGGAAGATGATGCCATCATACTTGATTTAAGCCATTTACGTGACGGATGAATATACTTCCTCCCACATCTAGGATAAATGACGTCGACAAACAGGGATGGATGTTACAATATGTGTCATACTCGACAGTAACGTTTCAGTTGAACTGAACCTCCGAACATAACGATAGATAAATAACTGGCATCTGGAATCCAGTCAATCAGTGTGACTGATACAGGGTCTCCGGACAGACACATATGGAACATGCTATTACATTTAACAGCCAAGCACTTCGCTTTTTGTATGCGGGTCCTTAAAAAGCAGCACATATTAATAGCGAAGGTCAAGGTACCCGTTGTTTTTTCGGCAATAAATGGCAAGTTTGAAAACTGATCATCTTCAAAAGCGTATGTGGTGTCGGATAGAATAACTTCGCACAGTAAGTCGAAAAGAGTTGACAGAGTACAGAGGTTTTAATCAGCGAGTTTCGAAATGTACACACATTAAATGACACCTACAACATATCACGGTATCGAGAGGAGTGCCTTACAGCGAGAGATGTTGCGGTAGCAATGAAACGAATACAAACTACAGAATTACACACTGGGCGATTCAACTGCAACACGAAGAGAAAAAGTTACGCCATCAATCTACAGGCGTGATCATAGCCAAGAGAATCTCCAACAGCAAAATCACATGTCGAATAGTCAATAAATTAAGTTATGAGAGTAGAATAGGTAGGAATCAACCTAATTAAACGATTTATTTCACAAGATGATAACTAAGTCCACCTAAATAAACAGGACAGCTATATCACGATCTTCCAAACGAAAACGGCAGAAATTTGCAATAAGAGTACATCATTCAGTTCGTTGCTTTGTTGTTCAATGATGAATTGTAAACTTGAACTAATGACCCCGTTGCTTGTAGTACATCTTCAGGCAACTGAAACAAAGGAAAAAATTACAATAAGTCCATGTGTGATCAGATTGTTCGAATAGTATAGCGCTAATACATCACGTGTTTCAGATAATCTTCGTCTTCTCATTACGCTGTTTAAATTTATCAAAGGGATTAGTTGCTTTACAACAAATCAGTTTAATAAAAGCGAATATGAAGCACATGATCCCATCCTGAATGTAAAAAAACACCTGAAATACCCTCTAACAAAATCTTAGTGACTGAAGTATCTTCAGTAAAAACTAGGATAAGCGAAAGAACGTCACCTGAAGCCACAAAACTATTATGCAGTGCAACAATATTTCCTAGACACATCAAAGAAGCATGGAATTCCCTGGAAAGCTTTCACAGTCAATTATAGCATGCTGAACCTTCGCGAAGAACCACGTGATCTAATGTATGACTGTCAGACTAGCTAGAGGACTTTCTGGAAAAGCGTAGAACACACTTAAGCCATCAAAAATGTATGTACGCCATGACTTTTTGTACACGTTTGACTTGACAATAAACCTTTATCGTTTTTGCCGCTTCTTTCTGTTTTCGAAGGACTGAGAGACCCTCAGGGGTGAAGTCCAAGGTTATCGTGCAAAAGTCAGTTCACATATAACTGTATATATCCACCACAAGCATATATCAGTAACATGCCATTGACCGAAAGATCTTTATCAAACACGGTTAGGATACCGTCGAACCCCACACAATGATCGTCAAAAGACTGAGCAGATGAGATGAACGATCGCAGTCTGTAAACGAAAAGACTTGGATGCTGCCAGAAAAAGGCAAATATCACGTAAAACGAAGTCATTAATATCATCAAAAAATGGAGTTGGAAATTACCGTTTTACACTGTTCTAAACGATTGCATAATACTTGAAGAGTAGGTAGGATACAAACTTCTGACAACTCCATATTGTACGGTGGTGATACAGTTGCACGTATTAATTGAAAGAGATTGGTCTCATCGTTTGATAAGGCTGTGGATAGAAAACGAAAAATAGAAAATAACATATACAAGATATATAACAGAATAATTTTTCAGGTTCTTGACATAGACAGACAAACGAATAAATGTAGAACTTTAAAGGGAGAAAGAGACAAGGTCAACATGGAATCTCGTATACATGTGCATCGGTTCAACTTGCACACTTCACAGTAGTATACAAAAAAATGGATAGAATAAGTGATATCAAACTAGACCAAGCTGTGTAAGAAAATAAAAAGTTTAAAGATAACGAATAGCGCATATATTCAAGCTTCAAACAATATTAAGATACGAAGCAGTTTACATCTCCCAACACGGTTTGGATTGATAGTTGGGGACTGTACGGATTCGTGTTATGTCTTGGTCTGGCTACTCTGAACCCTCAGGCGACCTAATCCACCTTCCCTCTAGCATGGCACATTAAGGCAGGTGGTGGTTCAGCATGAGAAATACATGCCCAAGTCACTTCAGTATATATGAGCACACATACGAAAACTGTAGCATAATATTCCATAATGAAACAGTAAACAGTTCCTAGTGTTCATAGTATATAAAGAATTATTTATTCAGAACACAAAAACAAAAAAATATAGACATTAAATTCAACGAGTATTACCTGCATTACGAAGACAATAATCCACAAAACCTGAGATGTGCTTGGGATCAACTTCCTCCATATATTTCATTGTTGAACGAAAAGCTGATTCTGTTAGGGACTCATGAGGACTGCCGACCAGAAATGTAAACGGTATTTTTTGATTATTCTAAGTGGAATGATATAGCAGACAAAAAAATAGTCTCGAATGAGTTTTCTTATTCATGAGGTTTGGAAAGACTTCGGATTGCGTCTTTCCATTAAGTTTAGAAAACTATACATAATACTGATGGCACTACTTGTATACAGACTTTCTGTCTTAAAGAAACGTTTAGGTCTTAAAACTTTCCCAACAGTGACACATGTTAAATTTCGGATGATATGTAACGAAATTGACCGAAAACTCTTTTCCCATATACAATACTACTGAAGTAATAAACTAACATCCAACAGGCAATGAATTCGCTATTTGATATCATCCAAAGGTTCCAATAGCTTCTAAATGAAGCGTGTTGCAGAATTGTGATACGTGAACTGAAAGCCTAGTGCTTAGACTGATAATCAACTGTTCATATTCTCTTTGGTTAAGAAAAATACTGTACATTAAGCGAATATTTAACTTCACAATTACTCAAATCTTTAACAAACATAATCATCATAAAAACCGCGGCGAATTATTCTATTGCGCTATCAGTGGACATTTAAATAACTACTCTGGACTGAAATCTCCATGCTATGCCAAAGTCACCTATCGTGGAAAACAGTCTGCCGGTTAATAAGTGGAGTTATGTAACTCAGACAAAAGGCATAGTTACTCCTGAAAAGTCAGAAGAAAAAAGTTGAATCTATTGAATGCCTACCCCCCAACGACAACCAAAAGCTGTCACCGATGACAATGCGCATATATATATATATATATATATATATATATATATATATATATATATATATATATATATACGTAAATCTTCACGGCAGCCATAACGACAAAATGGGAGATATCAAGCAGCATCCCTGAAGAAACTTGTGTACAAGAACGCTGGAAGTCTTTGAAAGAGATGTGGAAAGAAAACCTGCACAACTGTATTAGGAAGCAAGAAGAAAGAAGATAAACCAGTGCAAGGATGAACAACGACAAGAGGAACTGAGCACAGTGTACAAAACACTACACTGAACAAAGAAGTGAAGCAGAGTGCACGGAAAGAAAAAAGACACTTCTACGAAACACTGGCAAGTGGAGCACAACAGGCTGCAGGTAAGAGAGACCTGACAACATTGTATCAAACAACCAGGTTACTATCTGGTAGGGAAGAGATCAATACCGATGAAACCAATAAAAGATGATGAAGAAAATATAATTACCAAGGAAGAGAAACGATGAGCTGGCCACTTCAAAAAGCTCTTGAATCCACCGCCACCTGCAGACACAGAACTACCAGTGAACACGACGAAAGTCGAAGTCCTGAACGCCATAGGGCTACTGAAATACGGGAAAGAAGCAGGACCAGATGCGATCTCGCCAGAAGCACCAAGAACAGACGTAGGGACAACAGCAGACAGGCTCATACCACCATTGCAGAAGGTCTAGAAGGAAGGAAATGTACCTGCTGGTCGATTGGAAGAAGGGCTACCTTGTCAAACTCCCAAACAAGGGTGGGCAACTTAAGTGTTTGCAAGAACTGGCGCGGAATCACTCTCCTGTCCACCCCAAGCAAAACATTAAGCCTCATCATTCTGGAGAGACTAGACGATTCACTGGATTCAAAACTACGACCCGAACAGGCAGGTTTCAGGAAGCAAAAATCATGTGCGGACCAAATCGCAACGCTACGCGCTACGCATCATCACACAACAGAGCATAGAATGACAGCCAACTCAACTTCATCGACTTTGAAAAGGCCTTTGACAGCGTCGATCGAGAGGTAATTTGGCAGTTGCTTCAACACTACGGAATACCACAGACTTTTATCAATTTCATTCAACAACTATATGAAGACGCCACATACCAGCCAAGTAATTCACAATGGGAAGCTCAGTGATGCCTTTGCAGCGAAGACAGGAGTAAGACAGGGTTGCCTACTATCACCGATGATACTCCTGATTGTGGTCGACTGGATCGTGCAGCAAACAGTGGGGAGCGAGAAGAGGGGGATACGCTGGGCCGGGGAAAGAGCCTAGAAGATTTGGATTTCACCGATGACTTGTGTCTGATGTCACACAAACTTGAAGATCTACAGGCGAAAACTAACAAGTTGGCAGAAGAGGTAAGGCAGAGAAGACGGGACTTCAAGTGAATATAGAGAAGACAGAGGTGATGAAGATACCCAGCCAATAACAAGCTCCAATCACCATCAACGGGAGAAACTTGAAGGAAGTAGCCTCTTCCACCTATCTAGACAGCACTGTTTCAACTACAGGTGGCACAGACGGGGACGTCAAAGCCAGGATCGGAAAGACTGCAAGACAGGTGTTCATTAACCTGAAACCAGTGTGGCGATCTTCCGCGCTCAGCAAAAAGCGTGAAAAAGATCCGGATTTTCAACGCCGACGTCAAGTCAGTGCTTCTGTATGGTTCAGAGACTTGGTGCGTTACGTAAAGCATTTCCAACAAACTGCAGACATTCATCGACAACTGCCTACCCTCGTTACTGAAGATCAGATGGCCAGAATAATAAGAATAAGCAACAAGGAACTCACTCGGGCTGGCAACGAACCAACCAAGAACCCATCACCCAACAGATATGCAGAAGGAAGTGTAGATGGCTTGGGCACACACTGAGAAGGTCGATTGAGGACATCACGCACCAAGCCAGTCACTCGAGTGGAACCCAGATGAGAAGCGACTAGTTGGACGTCCAAGGTGAGGATGACATGGAGGAGATCGTGCGAGGGGGAAATGAGAGCTACTGGGCTGTCATGGGGCTAGCTTCAAAAGGTTGCAGATAGATAGATTGGATAGATTAAATAGATTAGATAGACAGATTAGATAGATCAAATAGATAGATTAGATAGATTAAATAGATAGATTAGATAGATATAGATATATTCTACTATGGAGGCCAGAAACTGAAAATGTATGCGCAAATGTTACCACTGGATATATACAGAGAAAGGCGAACTGGAGTATAACAAATATATAAAACGTACCGGTAATAAACAGGCAACTTGATCATTTAGTCCCCGATTGATCAAAATACCAGCAAGCTGTAAAGCGAAAGATTTGAGGCGACATTCTGAAACTTTATTAGTTACATCGATCACTAGGAAAATTAAAGAAACAGAAATCCGTAATTTATCTACCTGTAAAACAAATCGATCAGACAAGCAAAAAAAAACCAAAATAAGACTGTAAACTTCATAAAGAGAGTCACAATCAATCTTAAAAAGGCAGATAAACCAATGCAGAAGCAAGAATAGGTATCGGTGACTTATTCATATAGGCTGTGAACCTTTAATCAGTAGCTCACGGGTCTAAATCGTGAAACGGCGCTGAGATGAGAAGGGAGTATCAAAGTCCTCACACAATATCCGAAAATGTCGCCCGGTAATCGAACCTTCACGTAAACATCGAGTCTTATTTTCCCCTTTAATATACACCGCAGTTCAATTCCAACAACTCAGTGCACTACTTAGTACAACTTTGTAAAGAAAGATGAGTTGAGAACAGAGAACAACCCCGAAAAACGCTTCCCTGAAATAAAAATATTTAGTGAGATGCTGGAAACCAAGGTAAGAGGATAAAAATGAAAAGGTTTTCCTAATGTCGAAGTTGGGCACTATGGGATAGAGTAATCCCATTTTAGATTCTTTATGCAATGAAACACAGTGAAGAAGTGTAACTTACTGGAAAGCTTTTCGCAAATATTTATATCATTGAGATATAGCTTTAGTTCCCTCACCAAAGCATACAGTCCTTTGTGAAAATATAACAGCTTTTGCCATCACATACTTGAATCCATTACATTTTCCTCTAATTATAAAAAATTTATTATTACTTTTTTCTATATTTGCAGTATTTATCAGTTGGATTTATCCTAGTCTACAACGTAGAAAACGATAGACAAAATCAACGAGGAATCTCATGTAGCAAGTCCATCGGTTCAAGTTGTCACACTTAACACAGTAGCATGTAAAACAAAAGTGGATCGAAAAATCCTGACATTAAAGTAGATAAAGGTGAACCGGGAGAGAAAGAATTTAGAAATGAAGGTCAATGAAAATATTCAAGCTTTAGAAGACATGGAAGAGTGAATACATTTGCCCCATTGTGAACAATTTTCAGCCACATCACCAAGCGTCTTCAACCATTGGTTCCAATTACCTTGAGGATTTTAACCAAGCAGTTCAAGTCTTTGTGGCTCAAACTAAAAGTAAGGGCATAATCGATTGATGCTACGTTTTGAACTGGCAATTTTGAGTTCTCTTGTAAAACAATTCTACATCGACTAACGCTGCACAGTTAGGGATACAACAATTAGTTTAGTGGCAACCAACACCAATTGCTTCCCTGAATTATAGTGTCCAGTGAAGGTTATTTGTGGTTATGTGAGTTCAAGGAACAATAGCATGCTAAAGACACTCTGAAGCTAGTCAAATAGAAGTTGAATCACCTAAATAGGTTTTGTTTCACCTTCACACTGTGATAGATTACAGTCTTACGCACATCTGTGTTGAGTTGTCCATACACAATGGCAATAAAATTATAAAAACAAAACATAATAACATGTACGTAATAACATGTACATTAATACGAGGGAATTAACCTTCGAGAATACAGAATCACTGTCCAGTTCATTTGTGTTCATGTGGAACGTTTAACAAGTATGATTTTTTGTAAACATGGCATCAGTAATGTAAGAGTACCATAGTACAAAACTACCCGCTGCCTATTACAACTTACAGTCTGAAATGTGATCAACTGGCCAGCATTTGAATAGTGTGTTCGTGTGTGGACCTTTGAGTGTATAGAGTAATTCTTCCACTGAACGACTTCGTAAACTTTTAATCACTTCCTTTACACTTTCTGGAGCTTCAACCTTATTATCTTCACTTTCTGAACACACTCTACAATAGATAAGGAACAAGAACAATACGAATCTCTTGACACCAATTAACAAATGAAACAGGACAACTGTCACTGATGTGTTTCCAATATATATATATATATATATATATATATATATATATATATATATATATATATATATATATATATACCTTATCCACGCTCGTCTGATTGATTACGTAACACACAGACATCAAGAATAAGAGCTGGTACAATCACACGTCTCCCTAATTCACCACGAAGCACACCTGAAGAACCGATGCTAAGTCTCTGCTAGTTGCAGGATACTAGGAAACTGTGTATTGATGGGAGCCCATTTTGTTTTAAGTGATAAGAAAACTAGGATCCAAGTTATCCTTGAACATGTGATCTTTGCGTAACTCTTCGGAAGATTTAATGAATAGGCTTTTATAATATCACTGTTAAAAATAGTTACTATCGGAGTACAAACTTGGGCACTGTGGTAGGTTATAATTTCATTTTAGTCTGTTTGTTAGAAATGTCATACAACGAAGAAATAGTACCACTTACTGGATAACGTTTCGGATGTAATTGATTGTCCGTATTCATATCAAGTAAATCCACAGTTTTGAGATATTGTTTTTATAATTCTAATCTTCTCTCCTTTTTTATGGTGACAAGAGTGCTAGAATTTTTCATATACCCTAGCTCAATCAAGGTTAGTAGGTCCTAGTAAGATAAGAAATTTAGAGAAAAGAACGTTTATGGTTTTGTAGGCAACTACACGATAAGGTGGGATGGATCTACAGTATTAAAAGTTAACTTAGTTGGATAAAGGAAGAGATTGATAAGCGAATCTTTGTTGATCGAATCAACAACAAATACATGCAGTAGTAGAAATAATTCTGCACCTGTCTCAGATATATGAAGAAAATTCTAGCACTTTTGTCACCATAAAGAAGGAGAGAAGATTAGAATTATAAAAACAATGTCTCAAAACTGTGGAGTTACCTGATATGAATACGGACAATTAATTATGTCCGAAACGTTATCCAGTAAATGGTACTATTCCTTCATTGTATGACATTTCTAATAAACAGACGAAAATGGAATTAAACATAGTTACCTTACTATATACACAATAAGGATTAGTTCATTATCGTAGTCATCACTTTTGAAAGCTGCCGAAAACTGAATGAAGATATTTTGTCGCTTGTCTTCTTAATGGATTAAATAAAAAGTTTTACCATGAACTAATAAAACTTACCGTATAAGATGTGCAAGATCTTTCAGCAGTTTATACTTGCTATTATCATTTGTGTTAGTAATAGTCTGGATAACACGTTCAATAAGATCTTCGGCACCAAAGTTTGCAAGATTGAAGAGCAAGGCTACTTTTCCTAGGTAATGAAATATTAGCAAAATTAACGGTTATTCAATACATAATTCCGCTTAGAAATAAAAGACTTACAAATAAATACGTTTTTCAAAGTAAATATAACTCACTTTCTAGGCGCCAAGATTTTCTGATATCTGCTAATTTTTCATCACAGACAATGGGATCTTCCTTTTGTAGTCTGTTTAATGATCAGAATTTTAGGAGAAAAGAACAAAAAATTATAGATATTTATTATTTTTGTGTTATGAACTGAAAAAGCAACAACAATAATTTTATAGTAAACTGAAGGATAGTTTATTAAAAGGTGAAAAACAGTTTTATGTACACCTAGATGTCATCATCGTTTTTTGACTATAATAAATGGTGCATGAATGCTAACAGGGAACACTTCAGCACTAATATAATAACATGGTGTGCATACGCTTAATTCCGAACAGGAGAGAATGAACTGTTAGGCACATTCGAACAACTCAAAATGCATTTAACATTGTGCACATTTGTGCAATAGGCAATGGGTCACACTTGTTTTGTCTGATGCCTAGTGATACAACATGGTTCCTTAAACTTTGGTAGGTGAAGTGGTGTACAAACCCATGAACCATTTTTTGAAAGTCATCTCTCTCTCTCTCTCTCTACTTGAACAAATGAACCACAGCTCCACTATCCTAACATTGTCAATGACAAAGGTTCGGTAAATTTAATACAACATAAATATCGATGAATTCCAAGTTAGTCAAAAGTCAGAAACTCATCATTTCGATATAATACCTCATTGATGTGGAGCCAATCTTATACAAGGATACGTGATTGAATATTTCCGGGAAACAAAAGTGTTACTGTCAAAGTGAAAACCTTTATTTTCTGTACAATATACTATAATAATTAAACACATATTTACATAATAATCCATATCAATGACAGACAAAACAAGACTGGTATTTATGTTATAGACTATTCTAATGGAAAAAACGCTCGTCTATAGCATGGTTATAAGCCACATCAGACTACACATACTAAGGATAAAGTGGTGTTTCTGATACCATTACCTGTAATATCGGACACCCTAGAATAACTAACAAGTGAATGTGACTCAGCAACCACGTGCAGATTTGCGCATCAAACACAGTGATATACACTAAATGTGAGAGCTGACAAAACTACCTGGTTACCCCAGCATTGGTAGGTGGAACGGGGTTTTGAGAAAAGATAAATCAACGAAGAAAGTTTTCTTTTTCGATGATATCATTTTCTAAAGCTGTACAATCGTATTTATATATATCATAAACATATAACAGTCGATTATAAAACAATAGGGTATAATAGCTACATCAATAACCTAGTGCTAAAAAACCAGAATCAAGAATGCAAAGTAGTTGCGTAATAAACTAAGACAGTAGAAATATCGAGGAAGGCAAGGTGTTTGACAAGGTAGAAATTGTTGGTAGATAAGAGACGCAAATATCGAGTGTTCACTTGATAGATAGGTGTAAAGAAGGTGAAGAATGAGACAAGGGTCATAATGAAGGTGATAATAATAAACTAATTATCATGAAATAGAAAAGAATGAAAGTGTTAAGATCATGGTAAGATGAGAGATTGAACATACTTCTTTTGCACACAGAGATCAGGCTTGAATTGATGAATTGCCAATGCCTCCACTGTGCACAACTGTCGAAGGCATACTCCTTTTGAACTGTTCCATCTGACACGATGAATGACATTGAAGGAAGATTCTGGTCTAGCTTTATGTCCAGAGTTGACCAAATGTTCAAGAATTGAACTGTTAACTGATTTACATTCTCACCTCGACAACCATGCAGGATAGTGCCCCGAGATACGTTTAGAAAGCGTATTCTTTGTGCGGCCTATATAACTAGCTCCACAGGAGCAAGTAAATTTTTAGACACACATTGAGGTGGCCCTAAGTGGTAACTTGTCCTTAACGCACTCCGGAATGAGTTGTTGACTAGAGAAGCTGGTCTGCAGTTTTGCAGAGAAGAATGTCTTCTTCAGTGATCTGGACAGTCGATTCTTCAGAATCTCTGCTGCCGTATCGCCTTTGAAAACAACGTGCATAAACAAGGTCTTCTTGGGTACTGTAAGTACTCTCTTCGTACTCTGATTTTGCAAAATAGTGTCTAACAAAAGAATAATGTCCCAACTCTTTATATGAATTGTTGGTCTTTTGTTCGACAGAGTAATAAGTCAGATCGTAGTTATTTGGAAACGTTTGGAAATCTAAATACTCATTTTGAAAATCTTTTCACATTGCCTACTTGAACATTAATTGGTTTTATGATTAATGCACTCGATCAGTTTGAATGCATAACCACTTTCATACGGAAAGACCAGAAACGTATACGTGTTTACGCATGCATAAACATGCAAGATAATTTACGCATCTTCTTAGTTTTATGTACCGCCTGATCTAGTAATATCAGGAATCCAACCCAAATTTTCTAAATAAAGCATCAATCGAATGTTTACTTTAGCTCCATAATGGTGCTATGATCAGCAATGAATACGTAAGGTAATTCATTACAATACATGCCGTTTGAAAGACACGGTTTAATATAATTTTGTGACAAACAAGAATTCAATTTGAAAGCAGTTTATTCAACAAAAAGCAGATCCACGAACTTATAGAAATGAAATGATACCTACAAATACGGAAAATTCAATAATTGTGCATTGATCACCCTGTTGTATTCTGCCGGAAAACGTACAGTTCGATGGTAAGTTTTATATCTTCATCCTTTTAGTGATTACATATGACCAGCGTTATGTATGTGTTTGAGTGGATATAACCTGAATCATATATATATATATATATATATATATATATATATATATATATATATATATATATATATATATATATATAAGGGGTTTATTTATATTAAGAGTGAACTTGGCTGTTTCAAGACTTATCTAGATTTGAATATATTACTGAACTTTGTTTTTCAACTAGTCAGATATTTACATGTTGGTTCACGCGCTTTCCCCTGAAACTTTAGGATAAAACGGTGCACTCTGTGCGGGGTTTTCAAACCAGTAACCCACTGATTGAAAATCTCTCGTCTAATTCGATGAGACAATTTCCACTACTATCATCCAATCACCCGAGTTGGACTTTTCAAATGACTGATCATTCATCTTTTCTTCAACACGTAGATCAAATTCAGTTACGTTTACGAAGACGCTAATATGAATTTGTTTTTTCTGATAACTCCAAGAATATTGGAAAGTCATGGAACTGAGCAAAATAGCTGCATTACAACTAATCTCTGATAATTAACCGTTTTCAAATGGCAACGATCATAGCAGAATGTTTGAAGACAATTCGATTAAAATTGTTGTAAAGATTCATTTGACTTAAACGTGACACAAATTATCAACTAAATTATAAATAACCTCACCTAACTAGTGATTCTGCAACTTTAAGTAACGGTTCCGTTATGAATACATTCTGCAAAATAATTAAAATAGGAATAAACAGGTGAATATAACAAAAAGACAATTAAACATAAATTTTTACGTGGATGAAAACCAAACTGTGAAGTAAGAGAAAAGCAATTCTCAGATGAAAGTTCAGATTAAGGAGTCATACGCGTAACTTCCAGTGAATTAAATTCACAATTTAGGTAGTGTCTTAACTTGAAAAATATGAAGTACACTTTGCATCAATAGGGAGTGTTTCATGGCACTACAAACGAGTATTTGCTATCTTGGAGCAGGAATTTACTTTTAGCAGATACCGAAATTCATACAATCAGTTGGTAACGTTAAAACTTAAGCTACAAAGGTATGAGGGTAAATGTTGACTTAAATGGTTAACCATACATCAAAATACAACATCAGACAACGAAAGTTGAGTAGTAATATGAGCTCAAAATAATAAGTGATCTAACTAGAGTCACTTAACGCTTGAGCACCAGGTTATAAACTACAGTGATTATTTATGTAGCTGATACAGTTTGGTCGTTCAATTCTTACCAGATGAAGTGGATTTCGAACCTATCACCCACCAACTGGAAATGAGGTATGTCACTTCAAGACATTTTTTGAAATGCGTACAGGAACTTTTTCAAAACAGGATTATTTATGTCATAATTAAATGCACGCTGGTAATACGCTTGTGTTTGTGTCGTAAAACACCCCGAACACTTAGCGAATGCAATGTGTAGCAAACAGTTAAGCGACATGGCTTAAGATTGGTCTTAGTGATGCAGGTGTTCACCAAAAACACCTTAGTAATCTCGATCCTTTTGGTGAATTTAATATTTATTCATTCCTACCTATTACGTTATCACAACTTTTTATCAACCTTGACTGCTTTCTTTATCTTTCATGTCAGTGCATACTCGTTTCATATGCTATTATGAAGTGTGGATACTTGAACCGCTAAGCAATAATACCCGGTCTTATGTTGGTGTATGTGTATGTCATTCTGCCTTACTTTATGGATATGAAACTTGGTTACTGCAGGTGGAGAATAAACAAAAGCTCTATGTGATTGGACACCATTACCTTAGAAGTACTAACCACGAGTTGTGGAACCAATACATTAGCACTTAAGAGGCTAGATGTAAAGTATCCGACAAAAAGATCAGTCATTTCAGGGGATTGTACATCTTTATTGACAAAGTTGATTGAAATATGTGTCACATATACCCAGTTATCATCTACTTGTATGTACGAAGTTGGGCCGAAGCAGTATTGGATAGAAGGGTAAAATGTCATCAAGCTGAAACCTGGTATCGATGAATAAAGCCCCTGACTACTTATACCAGTTACGCAAAGAAGTGTAGATTTCCAGCTTGAAATCAGTTTGACAACGAGAATCGACAGTTGGCGACTCCATGTGATACGTGGTTAACGATCGATTACAGTTATACAAATGCATTCGTGTTTTACCTTCTACCTATCATAATAAGTTCTGTCGTTTAGTTTAGTTTACCGTCCCTTATTTGCTTCTCATGACTTTTCATCACATCGTTTTTATTTCTGTTTTTAGTTTTGTTGCTTTGTGCCTTAATGACCTAAATTGAGCTGTAGCAACTTGGACAGTAATGCTATGTGCTACGCTGATACAAGCTGATTGGATATGTGATTTAATTCTTCAGTGACGGTAGCAGTAAAAATATACACCATGCTATAAAAGAAAGAACAAAAACGTTTGACATACTATCGAGTCAACCAGCGGGAATGTTTCGTTTTCTTTCAGTTTACTTTTAGAGCCTTGACAATGAAAAAGTGAAATAAAAGTTAGGAATGCATACAACAAAATATCAGGTGAAGCTGTGATAAACCACGAAAAAGTAAAGCAACATTAGTTTAAGAAAACTCTAATAATAAGAAAGCAACACTAACACAATCGTATAAAGTAATTTGGGAAAAAAGCAAGAACATTGAGTCGTTTGAAGCAACAATGAATGACAGAGTTAGAAAAATAATAGTATGTTTTTTGTGTATTTCCATACACCCTGACGTTTTTCATTTGCTTTCTTGTTAACTTGTAAAATGGGTGGTTGAAACTGTTTAAAAATAGGGTGAGAATATACAATAGTTTTAGAAAACATAACTAAAAGATTCGAATAAATTGAGAGGTAACAATTTTATGTGATATGTATTCAATGGAAACCTTTTTGTAGCTCAAGGTTCAAGCAAGTAGTCAGTAGAGGTTATTCAAGATTTGAAACATTAATTGTAGTCATGAATTTGATCTTAAACAGTAAACCACAGATTGAGGACAGAATCTGAGTTCTACGTCTACACGGTACGCATATCGTGTTCAAATTCACCATTAAACCTCCGATGGAGAAAAAATCTATAGCAAAATGCATTTATAACTATAGTAAAACAATACATAGATAATGGATGAAACACCTAAAAATTTCCACTACTTTACACCATGAAATCTGTCGAATGGTTAAAATATATGTCTCTTGATCCTGTCACGAAAACTTTCATACACATCTTACTACCATGGACTTACTTGCAGGTGGTCCACTGAACAAAGTGCAGACATCAGCAAAGCTAAATTTTTAAAAAAGGAAATAAATGTAGGTAAAGGCAGTTAAGTGAAAGGAAGATTGTGAAGCAGGTCAAACTTAAGAATTCTTAAAACTAAGCAGACGAAGTAAATTTGTAAAAGAAAGCAACATGAGATAGTTTCGAAGTATCTAGTTATGTCAAGCAATCGCGAGTAGGAAATCAATATAGCTAAGTATGATATTCGTTAGTGGGAAACACTACTTTTACTTGCCGTCACATCTCTATCAGAGTAAAAATTATCTCCACTATAACCGTAGTTGGTTTTAACTTACACGATCTAACTAACCTTTCGTTATATAACAGATCTTAAATCACAAAAATGAACGAAACAGTTTACTTCTGTATGAACATGTCGACACATTAACCTAATAACCTCACTGATGTAACGAGTTGGACATCCCTTCTAGAAAAGAACTTCTGACTCAATTACATGATAAATATGGTATAAATGTTAGTGTTCTCTCAATAACCAACATATAAATAAAAAAAGGGATAATAATTATATAAATATGCAGTGTCCGTAAGTATAGTGTGTGCCTCGCACCTCCGAAGTGCAAATTACTTTGGCAAGATGGACAGGAGCCTGTCTCGGAGTTTAAACTCCGCGGTAAGCTTTAGGAAGTAGTCGAAAAGTTCTTGTATCTAGGTAGTTGTGTGAGCCCTGGTAGACATGTGATGAAATTCCTAACCGCATGTCGAAAGCCAGAAAGGCACACTTAATTCTGGTTCACCTTTAGCACCATCACGATGTTAGTCTGACTGTAAAAGGTCGGGTTTACAATGATTTGGTGTGAGCAGTTCCGCTCTACGCATGTGGAACCTGTCCTCTCGGAGCTGAGGATATGCGACGACTCTGTATGTTTGGTCATCGAAATCTCCGTAGGATTGCTTGTATCCAGTGCCAACACCACATAAATAATTCCGAGGCACGACAGCATGTGTTTAGGCATGATGGAGATCGTCATTCAATAAATGAAGTCATCTGGAAACACCGGCTTCGATGGTTTGGATATGTGTTACGCATATCGTCCCAACGGCCTCCATACTGTTCATTGTTTGCTAACCCTGGGACTAGATGAAAAAAGCTAAGGGGTGATCAGTGTGGATGAAGGATAGTTGTGTTGGATTAGCATCTTACGGTGCATCACGAATCCCCGAGTGGGATCCGAGAGACCAACCCACTAAGTGGCTTGTGAGCTTATCGGATATGGCTCAGAGTCGAAACAAGTGGGGATGATGCTGTAGCTTCCTCTTATCTTCTGCTGATGAGAAGTAACTGTGTTTTTCTTTTTACCTCCATTCCTTCGCTTCGTGTTCAGAATAGTGATACATGATTTTGTAAAGCACATGTTTTTGGTGCCCTTGTTAATTCTCTAATAAATTAATTAATCAATGAACTATATATATAAGTAGTAATTAGGACCAAACAACGATCAGATAAACCAATAACGTTTTGCTTTGAGAACAACCATAATGGCCATTTGATAGAATAATTTTAACTCGAAATATAGCTGGTGAAAAATAAGAAAATAACTTTAATACTTACTTATTTCTAGACGTTGTTAAACTGCTAGCAAGATTCTGAATGACATCCTAGATAAGTACAAGCCAAAAAGGGATTTGTTTGTGTATTTGATTATTTTGATCAAAGTGAATACATACCTAAATAACAAAATCATTCTTTTTCACTTGCATATGTTAATTACCCCACAAATACACTCACAACAATTGTCCCACCGAGAACAACAATATAAAAAAATCCCCTTCGAACAGCAGATATCGGAGACTCTAGTAAACAGTAGCAAGCATGACACTTGCAACGGTAGTAATTGCTTGGTTGATCCTATGGCGAAAACTGGTGTATACAAACACCAAAACAGTAACTGTGAACATGACGCCCACAAAGGAAGACTGACTGACTGACAAAATCAACGTAGAACCTCGCACAAAAATGCATCACTTCAAGTTGCCATACTTAATAGTACGATACTAAGACAGGTGGATAGAAAAAGAGTGATGTCAGAGTAGACAACGTTGTGTGAGGGAATAAACAACTTGGAGATAAAGGTCAGTGCAAATATTCAAGGAGTGAATACATTTGCATCATTGTGACCGATTTCCAGCCACGTCACTCACTAAGAGTCTTCAACCAGATTCCTTTCGTCCCAAGGACTCAACGAGGTAGTCTACATTTCCTAACACATCTTAGACCAGCAGTCAGGGGCTTGGTGGACTGGTGTCACGCTTTGGTCTGGCCACCCTAAACCCTCTTCCAACGTAATGTGGCATTTCCTAGCAAGGGATGTCGGAGTAGCTGGTTGTTCGACATGCGTAGTATGATGTACAGGTCTTCTTACCTGACGAAGGTTTGCAACCTTATCAGTCGGCTTACCTGTCTTGCCTAGTACTTTTTTCCTGACTTCAATATTGCTTACAGTGATTACACTAAACGCGAGCAATGCTTCGACACAATTTATGATCAAAACCCTGTTACCGCGTGGTCATTCACTTTTAACGGCTCACAACCTTACAACAGGATAGAACAGACTGCAGTCCAGTCTGACGACCCAGGTTAATTTTGATATGGGCTAATAAAGCTTGTGAAAAAATTATATCAGTAGATATGAACATACCTCTGACACATCAGCATTCTTCATTGCAAGCAACAACCAATTATCACGACCAAATGTGATTTTCTGCAAGATGTGAAGAGTAAATAAAAACAATTAAAACCAAAATTTTAAATATAACTCAAAGTGTGTTGAATAACGAAAATCAGCCAAGCATAATACTAACTAGTGGAACTTAGTGACCATATGGTGCTACCCTAATGTGTTGGGCAATGAGCCATACCTCGAGCGTTAAGGCTGGAAATATTACTTGTATGCATCAACAATAAAATGTTCGAACTCGTATCCTACACTTAGGTTGAACATCAGTGAATCGACAGTATCCGATTATCTCGCTACACAATATGTATTAAACAGTCACCGCTCTGTATCAAACAAATGCTAATTGAAGTAATCACAAGCTTCATGAACTTAATCGGTTTACTGAAATAGTTTATAGGTGGATCAGTATTTTCTTTCTAATTTTAAGTAAAAGATAAGACTCATGACTTAGAGGTAATTGATCAGAGTCATATTCACAGGACTTATATTTCCCAATGTTTCATGAAAAAATAAGTTGCATCGGTAATCATAATAACAGATATATACAAAACTTAATTCAAGAACTTATATTGCAGTTGGCATCCCCATTAGACTAGGAAGTGCAAATATGATAATTGGATAGACAACGTAGAACCTATGAGAAAGTGTCAACTGAAGTTGTTACAATTCACAAAAGAATAAATGGGTCAATAGAGGGCATGAAGAAAAGCACAGAAACAAATAAACAGAAGGCGACAAGAAGCCGAATGTCTAGGATAACAAAAGTAAATGGGCAAGTGTCATGTAACAATAGTAAGCTGTAGGGCAAAAAGCAAAGCTCCATAATAATTTCCTTCGTACTCGCACTTATGACAATATTAAAGAAAACGCCGGGTTCACAAGATAAAATAGCCTAGCTAAACTTAGCTTAGTGGTGGTATACAGAAAGAAATACAAGAGACACCGCTGGATGAGCATGTATGAGTTAGTAGGTCGTTCCAAGTAATAACTACGCTCTCCTTAGTTAGCTGTTGTCATCCTGAAACAATTATTATCACAGAAAACTACAGAAAGACATAAATACCAACAGTTTAAAAAAAAATAAAGTTGACGTATTCTCCTTACGTGATGAACGCACACATCAGCCAAAAGCTGAATTATAATGTTTCTAGGGACTTTGTTAAAATACCGGTATGTGGTTATCTGCATAATCTCAAATACTTGTGTGAAAAGTGATTGGAATGCACGTCTGGATAATGTGTACCGTAGTATGCCGAATACTTCATGCATAACGGTACATTTTTTATGTATCATTATTTCTGACAAATTTGAGACGGATAGAATGCTTAACAGCTGAAATTATAAAAAAAATTAATCATATTAACAAATCTGATTCCAAAAATGCAGGTTAGAAAGATATTGACATCTAGTTAGTCGACAACAGGTTATATCCGTTGTACGAGGGTTGTAATACACAACTAGCTAAGCAAATGTAGGTACAAAAAGGAGGACTGAAACTCGTGATATGGGTTTGAAGTTGACTGTCAAAAACTACTGATCTGAATCAAAATTGATTGTTTTCGTGCAGTTGATGTATGCACTTTTGATCATCTTCGAAATCCTGAAGATCTTCACTAGCCTTCATCGATCTGTACCCTCGACTTTCTTCAACCTTCATGCTTTTGCTTTCTATCCATCTTTCCCTAGTATGTTGCTGCTGTGTCAACTTGAACCGACTTACTTTTGCGCCACATTCTATGCTGCTTTCTCTATTTGCTTAAGTTGACTAGTGGTCTGTTCTACGCATATATATATATATATATATATATATATATACTCTATTATACAAGATTTCGAGAGTTACAGATTCAGTAAGATACAACCTGACTTCAAATATTGCAAAGGACAGGTGTAACTTACCAGTAACCAATACCTCAAACCACATTTTCATTATTTAGCGCCTACTGGATGGATTAGAACTTATCATTTGACTGAGTGACATAATCAGTGAACATCCAACCATAAAGAATCAATCACCTTTGTCCGCTTGAACAAATATCTATCTATCACACGACGAGTATACTATACTGCAGTTCGTTCTGTCCTGTTATACGGCTGAGACATGACCATTGGAAGTAGGAAATATGAAGCGGTTACAGGGCTCTGATCACAGATGTTTTCGTGGCATCGCTCGCGTTGGGTGAAATAACCATGTGAGCAGTATTAAGGTCATGTGAAGGGTACTAGGCAAGACGGATAAGTTGATTGATGAATGAGGTCGAGAACCTTAGTCGACTGAGGTGGCTCAGACATGTATTGCGCATGCCGAACAACTACCTACCTCGATGTGCCATGCTAGGGGGAACTGCATTAGGGTGACCAGACTAAAATGTGGCACTAATCGATGGAGTTCCTGACTGTTGTTTCCAACCGTGTTCGGAGATATAGACCACCTGGTTGGGTCCCTCAGACGAAAGGAATCAGTGGTTGAAGACTCTTAGTGAGTGACGTGGCTGGAAATCGGTCACAATGATGCAAATGTATTCACTCCTTGAATATTTGCACTGACCTTTATCTCCAAGTTGTTTATTCCCTCACACAACGTTGTCTACTCTGACATCACTCTTTTTCTATCCACCTGTCTTAGTATCGTACTATTAAGTATGGCAACTTGAAGTGATGCATTTTTGTGCGAGGTTCTACCTTTTGTCAGTCAATTACTTTAGCTGATATTTAGTGTTCACAGAGAGGCATTCTCATTGCGTAGTGATCACTCCCAAACATATAAATATTAGTTGAGATCAAAACACTACCCTGAAAAGAGGTTACTCATGTAGAGCCAATGAAGGTTTCATTCAAACAAACATCGACTGAATATACTAAAAAAAATTGCTGATTGATTCATCTGATCCCGAAAAAGCATGGACCACGAATTAAACTTCTAAATATCACGATGGGTGGTCATACAGTCATTCCAGTCATCATTTAATGCTTGATGTTGAAAACTATTCACAGAGATCATGTTCGATCATCTGCATCGTATACATGCTGTTTATAAGCTGTTACTATTTTTCGTTCTGTAAACAGTGAATACGACTAGAAGCTTACATAAGAGGCATTACCTAATTTTTATCTCAAAGCGTTCATATGACCAAGAAGTGCAGAGAACAAACACGACAATGAATATCCTTCAAACTACAGAACCCGTTGACTAATGCTCTTATGAAAAGAAATCTATCTTTTTCTTCACTACCCACTACTATTACTTTTAGTATTATCATTATTGTCATTATTATCGAATAAAGATGTGGGTTCCAGAGGCTTTGAAAGACAGTGCATAAGAAACATGTTATTTGAAGTGCTTACCAATTTTTCAACATTGCGATTAGCAAAACGAATGGCATCAGTACATGGAAGTAATTTCAGTTCACGATATTCATTCACCATATCTGAACACTTCTTCAACTCTGACTTTACATTTTCTTTGGGATTAAGTGAAGATAATTTGTTAAACACATATCCAAAAACCAAGCTTTCATTGACTACAGGATTCTAAAAGAATAAGGAAAAATAACTTGTCAGAAATATTTCCTTACAAAAAAACGATAAAAGTGGATGCAACTTTGAACATATCAGCTAGTGACTTAGTGGTTAAAAGTTGAGTACCTAATACTCTGTAGACAAATAAGCACAATGGAATACCACCTCAGGATGTATCATGAATACATGAGGTGTTGAACAATAATCGTTCACACTAATAAACAACTCAAACCAGACATGTGTGCTAGAATATGAGTTAAATAATGTAACGACGTACATTACTGTGCAAAAATCCTATCAAACAGCCACATACACGTCAGTGGATCAAGCAATGGGCCTCAGTACCTTTTGTGTGAGGGCTAATGATACTACCTGGCCTTACAGATCTTGGTAGGTGGAGTAGGGTTTGAATCCATGACTTACTGGTTGAAAGACAATGGATTCATTTATTGCTCGACAGGCTAGGTGAGAATAGTCGGAATAGGGTTTGAACACGGGAAAATTTTAGGAGAAAATCAACTTTTGAATTGCTTTAAGGCTCCAGTTTTGTATCAAACATTGTTATTGATCTGAACATTTTGACGTATCATTCCACACCATTTTTTACGGTATGACTAGTAGTCTACTTTTTGTCCCTATTGTAATGTAAATCGCTAATTGGTTAATCTTCACTCTTACTATGCAAATGTCTCAAATTGTGGACCAGGTTATTTTTCATGTGTACACATTCACGTGTTTTGGGTTTGATTTATTATATTCTCGGAGTAACAAACTCTCGCATCATCCAGCTTCGCTCTTCTTTCGATTCGTCCAAGGGTTGCGTACTCTAAGTTGGCTGTCAGCTAAGTGTATGTATTGTATTCATTCGGAATACATATAACCGTTGGCAATTGAATATATAACAAATTCAGAGAGAGATAACAACTAACATATGTCATATTTCTACACAAATTCACCGATTTTGTTTGAGCAAATGGTTAGCATCATCAGACCTACCTAACGATCAGAAAACAAATGCTATTTTAGTAAAAGAACATTTTTACCAGTTGGAATATATGACTGCGTACAACAGATTACAGCATTTATGTGCTGAAAACCCTAACGTTAAATATGACGTAAAACGACCAAAGAAGCGAAAAACCACATCGTCTACATGCACATAGGCATACAGAAAAACTGGGATTGCAAACATCGACCTCTACCCTTTGGAAAACATGGCAATTCTAACGAGTTTGATTGGGCTATGTGTTCTGTCGCTTTTTAGAAACATCAGCTTTTACACTAGTAAACACATACGTAAACAGCCTAGTTTGTTGATAAACTTGTAATCTTCCGTTGTTATACTGCATCAAATTCATCAACGTCTCTAGGCAGATGAACCCCCATGTGGATCCATCGATATTACCTGAATATTTGATACAATTGACTTGGTTGTGTCAAGATGTGAAATACAGGAAGCGCGTTTCGTTTCATTTGGATGTACCTCCCGCTAGGGAGTGATGTTGTCTCGAACCACGTACCCATACCTTTAAACAGCCTAATTACTGGGTCGACCATAACCAAGTAAATGGGCAGTATCATATGAGTGCTACACGCAATCGAATATCTACAATGAAATTAACACCACAACCACCACTATCAAAGACTTCTACTCACAGCATACGAATATATATATATATATATATATATATATATATATATATATATATATATATATGTCTATAGCGGAATGTAATATATACGAATCCCACTCAAATTACCTCAATTCGTTCCAAAACATTCACTAATGAATAGCCCATATCCGCTAGCTTCTCAGCGATAGATACAAATCCAAATGTTTTCTCTCTCACAGATATGCCTCTCAAAATATCAAAAGCACCTACAACAAAAAAAAGAATCACCGGCAGCAAATTATTGCAGTATTTCAACGTAAAGGAAAACGCTGAACATCATCCGAGCAACAACCATCACGTGTCCAAAGCAGACAGAATCACTGCATGAGCATCGGAAATTATGAAACAAACCGACAAATACCGCCCTCTCTAAACAAAAAGTCCTATTTTACGTTCCTCAAATCAAGTTGCTTGAACTGATGTCGAAGTTTATTTAGGTCACCTTTAGCTTTTTCCAACCTACTTACATCTTACAATGCTTCAGTGAAGACTGGCTAACAGTTTTGTAACCGGCGTCCAAACCACTTCAATCAATGCATCTCCACAAACTCATCAGCTGACTTTCATACTTATGATTCCGTGCCCAACCTCTACATTGCTTACCGAGTGGCTGCATTCCACATGGATTGTGATGCATAGACAGTCTTCGTCAAATACCTGAATCCTTTTCACATCATAATGGTCATCTTTCATAGTTAGTAAAACTGGGTAACACAAAACACATAGAATCAACGTAGAACCTCGCACAAAAATGCATCACTTCAAGTTGCCATACTTAATAGTACGATACTAAGACAGGTGGATAGAAAAAGAGTGATGTCAGAGTAGACAACGTTGTGTGAGGGAATAAACAACTTGGAGATAAAGGTCAGTGCAAATATTCAAGGAGTGAATACATTTGCATCATTGTGACCGATTTCCAGCCACGTCACTCACTAAGAGTCTTCAACCACTGATTCCTTTCGTCTGAGGGACCCAACCAGGTGGTCTATATCTCCGAACACGGTTGGAAACAACAGTCAGGAACTCCATCGATTAGTGCCACATTTTAGTCTGGTCACCCTAATGCAGTTCCCCCTAGCATGGCACATCGAGGTAGGTAGTTGTTCGGCATGCGCAATACATGTCTGAGCCACCTCAGTCGACTAAGGTTCTCGACCTCATTCATCAATCAACTTATCCGTCTTGCCTAGTACCCTTCACATGACCTTAATACTGCTCACATGGTTATTTCACCCAACGCGAGCGATGCCACGAAAACATCTGTGATCAGAGCCCTGTAACCGCTTCATATTTCCTACTTCCAATGGTCATGTCTCAGCCGTATAACAGGACAGAACGAACTGTAGTGCAGTATACTCATGTTGTGATGAATAGTTGGATACCTCGCCATCCAGCACCAAAGCTGAAGCAAGTTGGTAACCGGTATACGGGCCTTCTGTATCCCAGCTGAGATTTCTTCAGTAACCAACCCCTCCGAGCTGATGCAACTCCCAAAGCAATTTATGTGGTCGACACGTTACACTATTTCTCTCCCTATCATTAAACTGGAAGTGGTTGCAGTCCAGTCCTGGAGCATCATCTTACACTTGGCACGCACAAAACGCATGACAAACATACTCAGATTTCTGCTCAATGCGTTTGTTAGCGTCCTCACCTAGCAGGACACTATCATCTACATATTCCGAGTCAACCAGATGACCTCTAGAGAGTAGCTCAATCTCTGTGAGATCAGACATACCTAAAATTATGTCAGTTAGTACGTCTATAACGAAGTTGAGTAGCAACGGTGATAGTGGGGATCCCTGGTGGTACTTTCTTCACAGTCAGACACTGCCATAATACCTCACGTTTGATAGAGTAAAATGACGTCTTCAGGTCAATAAATATGCCAAGTGTCAGTCACTGGTGGGTAAGTATGCCTGTGTTCAAGAACCTGTCGGAGGGTGAAAATATGACCAGTGCATCCTCCTCCAGCTCTGTCTGAAACCTGGCTGGTTTTCTCGACTTCGCGATTGTTGAGCTCCATTTACACGTCGGATAACTGTGGGTCTAAGAATCTTGTACACAATATTGGTCAAACTAATTCTCCTATGGTTGTCGCAGGAAGACACTCCTCCCTTCTGTGGACTGGGATAATCAGGGAGGTATACCAGTCAAAACCCAAGAAAGAAATACAAGAGAGAACACTATATACTTTCAAGGAGTATCTGTAAAGGTTTATCGTAGGTAGGTGAAGTGAGATTTCTATCTACGAGTTAGATGTCGTTGTGTCAAACGAGTGTGGCCTATTTACTGAATACAGTTAAGTATAAGGTTCGGAACATTTCGCACTAAACGGCGGTCGCAGAGGTTCCCAATTCCGTTTCAACTTGCATGCAATATCGCCTTTTTCTGATCTGCCAGTACAAGGACAGACAAAATCAACGTAGAACATCGCGCAGAGGGGTATTAGTTAAAGCGTGCACACTTCAGAGTAGCATGCAAAGAACAAATGGGTAGATGTACATAGCACAAAACGGTTCCTCAATTGGTAGAATAACTGACCTTCTACATCGTTGTCGTCTATTCTTCTCTGGAACCGAGAAAACAATGAGTTCGACGATTTGCTTTTTCGATTGAGAACTGAAAAAATAAACGTTTTGATTAGCATATATATATGCATACATTATTGATAACAACTGTGATTACTTTATAATGACACAAATAACTTTTTCTATTTCGCTTGTAACTTTGCAACGCATCCTGAGAAACTCAAACAAACAACATAAAATCGAATCATGGCAGCGTCTTACATGTCAACGGCCACACATTCAGTTCCGGCGCGTATTTCACCACTGATATTTATTTCTGGAGACCTACACAAACATCAATCACGTACCAACGAACAGTAAACTAAAAGCACGTCACATTTTTTTGTAGCAACATGTGGTTTGTGGGATAGTAGACTATTAAGAAATTTATCAAAAATACTTCAGTAGAATGCTATACATCAAATACCCAAAACACAGAGACCACTTGTCAACTTACGATCGCAGTGGTGTACTCGAATGTTTGTACCACCGTTATTCACCTAGTCCTATAACCCTAAGGCGTTGTAAATGCTTGAATTAAAGAGGAATGAAAGCTGCTTCAATCTAACTTAACTATTATTTCAAAGCAAACTGGAATAGGCGGTTATACATCATCCAATTATCTACCTGAATGAAGTGTATCACGACCATGTATGTATAAATCTACACAAAGGTTTCCATAACTTACACAATTGACATTTACTCCTGATCACTTTCAATTGTTCACTGTCCAAGTTAGCTACATGCCAAAAAGGTTCCAATGATTCTATGTCCTAGTAAGAGAAAGATAAACTGAATGTAATGAAATGTAGTGACACAAAAGAAGAGTAAACAAAAGTAATTGAAAATACAGCCAGGTAAAAAGTATAGCATGATCTTGATTTATTCTTAACCGAAATGTCACTCACCAAACTACCAGCATCAGCATAGGCAACCAATGAATACAGATAGCCATCTGTTGCAGTTTGTAAACATAATTTTTCGAAAATTTTCAGAGCAGCAGCTAAACGTCCCATTGCTAGGAGCACTTTAACTGTGTCCTTTGCGTATAATTGGTAATGTGGATCTTCTACCACATGCAACAACTCAAGCATCTGTGAAATAATAAGGAAAAAAAAATAAAACATGGCTATGTATGTTATTTGTGTATACAGATCAATAAGTTAGTTTGAAAACAGATCTGGGCACTTTCGAAACCCTTTGAACTTCGACGTAAAGGTTCGTCTTAAAACAGACAAAATAAGACGCTGCAGCACGTCTATTTACACTCAGGAAAACTGTTATTCCTTACTCTAAAAGCCATAGCTCATTAGTGCAGACAATCGACTTTCATCTAGATGGTCACTATTTCGAACCCTGTCCCACTTATCCAGGCTTCGGCCCACACACAGTTGGTAGAACTTGCGCATCGTTTAGTAATATCTCATTCAAAGATAACAAATGTACACATTACTTCACAACCTGAGTAGAATGAAGGGATATGTATTTATACGTGGTCAAATCATTGAAGACTTTGAACGTTACAAACTTTAGGTTTTGCGGTTCCTCAGGCAAAGATGGGGACAATTTAACCATGTTTATCTGCTGAATAACACCTCTAACTGACAGTGAGAAAGGTAACTCACAAGTGTACATCACAAAAAACTACAATATACCTTGCTACATGTTGCATTTTGATCCGGATTTGAAGACAGTAATTTGTATAAAGATCTAAGAGAAAAGTGGGTGAAATTTCGTTGTTGAATTTAGTTTCTGAAGCTGATATTGAAGGAAGTACAGCGTAAGCCTCATCAAGAGTTCGTAATACACTTTGTTCATCCCCGAGATCAGCGTATGCAGATGACAGGGCTTCATATGCACTTTTGGATGGCCACAAACCTATTTGAGATAGTATTTCCTGTGTGGAAGAAACTTCCTCGGGCAACCTGAAAAATTGGAGGAAAGCAGTATCGTTTACAAAGACAATCAGGACTGTTAATTTACTCTCAAAGACTAATGCTAAATTTTGGAGTATGGTAAGTATAAATAAACAGATGAAATGCAGACAAAGGAATATCGTTATTACAATTTTCCAGCTTAACTAAGAAACGCTATGAGGATTTTTCAGTGGGTTATTTTGTTAATTAAACACAAGTTTCAGTGAAGCAAAATATTCCTTTTTATCAACATCGAGCCATAAAGTAACTACATTACCTTATCACAGGTTACATCTGTTAACTAATAATCAACTTCTGCGCAATCTTGATCAGAGTAGGCAATGTTTAGAAGACAGCTTTTCACTACTAGCTGTATACCACATGAAGTTACATGTCTGAGACAAGATAAATATTAATTTATACATGATTTGATTCGTAATTCTACGTCTATAAAAATATAAAATGAATGATCCTGGTGGAAGGCATTGCTCAGCTATTGAGGACACACGAAAGCCCAAAATCAATCAGAAAACAAAGCAAATATCATCAGAACTCAGGGAGAAAGAAGGGGGTGATGTAAGGCACATAATGAATTAACAGGATTGAGAAACATTATTCAGTGTATGTAGCGATCCATGGTATATATAACGATACAATACTCCGACGCGATGCAATTAACGATATGATAATGACTTCACAACTCGATTTTTAGCTGACACCAGAAGACGATGGGGTTAAAAGTATATTTACTTCAGCCGAATAATGACAGCTGAAAACTCAGTTGTTTGTATGTCCTTAGATGGCCCTGGCCAGAGAAAACAAAGTAGTATGTCAAAAGTGCAAAATTAGCGTTCAGCATCCTAAACTGTAGTAAAGGAAGTAACATAGCAAGGTGCAAAAATGACGTGAAAACAAGGTTAAAACTTTACAATGATAACATAAGCATATTATAAGTTAGTTCTATTGTGGATTAGGCATCCATAACATTTTCTTTGGCCCTTTTATACTGGAACAGGCGGTATACAAAATTTACGGACGAGTTTTCCCAGTTTTCCCGGCAAAAACTTAGGCCTATGAGGCACATCGGCAAGAACACAATCATAGTGGAAAAATCACCGAGAAAGATGCTACTCCAACGACGTCCCAGTACAGACGGATAGAACACTTCGAAGCACAGTCCAACTGGCCAGAAGCAACACTCAACATCCCACCTGGATTAAAAAGGCGCGTAAATGCTAATCGCACAACTTTCCATGAAGTTGAAAAGGCTGTATCGAACCTAAAACGATGCAAAGCCCTAAGACCTGACAGTTTTTGTCGAACAACGTTATTAAGGAGGGAGGTAGGAAATAGCTCCTTTAAGGGACGGAGGTAAAGGTCATCTATATGAATCAAAAGTGACGTAAGACAGGTCCACCTCCCTGATTATCCCAGTCCACAGAAGGGAGGAGTGTCTTCCTACGACAACCATAGGAGAATTAGTTTGACCAATATTGTGTACAAGATTCTTAGACCCACAGTTATCCGACGTGTAAATGGAGCTCAACAATCGCGAAGTCGAGAAAACCAGCCAGGTTTCAGACAGAGCTGGAGGAGGATGCACTGGTCATATTTTCACCCTCCGACAGGTTCTTGAACACAGGCATACTTACCCACCAGTGACTGACACTTGGCATATTTATTGACCTGAAGACGTCATTTTACTCTATCAAACGTGAGGTATTATGGCAGTGTCTGACTGTGAAGAAAGTACCACCAGGGATCTTCACCTGAAAGCAGCATTCGACACCGTGAATCAAGGTCTTGTGGCAATGTCCCTCATTGACAAGAATGTTGAGTGAGTACATAACTACGTTGAAGGCTTCGTACTCGAAAACCCATGAGCGTTTTAGACCCAATGGTGGGTTATCAAGTGCACGTGAAGTGGTGTACGTCAGGGACGCGCACTCTCCTAATCCTTATTTAACTCTATCATTGGCCTACTTATATAAATCTTCTAGTTGCCTGACTCCACACTAGAATCCTTGGTAGATCTGTAGTATGTAGACGACGGTCATGTTTCGTGAAGACGCTGATAAAATGAAGTTTTCTGGACACCTCGAGTGGCAATTTGAGGTTTCGGTTAGGTTTCTTACCACCCAAAATGCAAACTGTTGCTCCAGGACTAATCTTCAGTGGTGTCATGTCTAACAGTAGGGAGTCAAGTGATTGAGTACATTGAACACTTTACTTTGTAAATCGGACCAACCTTGGTGGGTCACTGGCCGACAAAATCACTGCAAGAATACAAAAGGCCCGATTGGCTCCAGTCACTTATGATGTTGCCGCCGTAGCCGACTGTCTACGAAGAGTCGAGTGTAACGTGTCGCGATCCGTCCTGTTCTCTTGTATGGCTATGAAATATGGTCATTAAAGGTTGATGACATGATAAAGCTTCAGGTTTTCCATCACCGTTGCCTCCATAGCATAGTGTTTCTTGGTGTCACCAAATTAATGTAGTCAGGTGGAGTTTGAGGGAGGAGAGGAAAGTCAGTTGCCGAGGTTGTGAACCTTCATCAACTCAGGTGGTTGAGACATGTGTTACGCATGCCTAGTGATCGTCCGATTCGTCAGGCAATGTTAGCTTAAGTAGGTTTAGCCTGAAAAAAGGTTTGAGGCGGCCAGACAAAAGTCCATAACTGTTGGTCTGAGTAGAGTTGGGAGATGTAAACTACCTGGTCGAAGTCCCCAAGATGATAGGAATCACTGGTTATGAAGTCTCGGTGAGATGGCTGAAACTAGGTCGCTCTAGCGCACATATGTAACCACATATTATGTTCACCTCAAACATCCTATTGAATTCAGGATTTTCCTATTTCTTTTTTACAACTTTTTACCGCTTTGAACCAATTTTTCTTCATTTCATCTTTCGTTTAGGCGCTTTCTCGCTTGATGTGCTGATATGAGGTTTGGCAACCTGAACCGTTATGCAGTAATACCTGGCCTTAAGTTAATGATGACGCAGGTCATCATCAACATAGGACTAGGCATTACTGCGTAACGGTCCAAGCTGCCACATCTCATATCAGTACATCAAGTAACAAGGTAATAAAATGAAAAATGAAGAAAGAAAACTCGGTCAAAGGAAGTAGAAAGTAGCAAAAGAGAGGGAAGAGGAATAAGAAAATGATGAAATTAGGTACGGTGGTCAAGATGAGAATATTGCATGTAGACATCTGAGCCAATAACACCGGTTCTGGGCCATATCATCTAGAGACAGTCTCCAACCACTGGCTTTTCTAGTAACCTGAACTTCAACTAGCTAGTCTGCATGCCCTAACATGTCTAAATCAACAGTCAGGGACTTCATGTTTGATGCTATGTTTTAGCCTCGCCGCCCCGAACCTTTTGCCAGCCTGAACCTGTGCTACGAGGCAGACGGTGGCTAGGCACACGTAACACGTCCCAGCCATCTCAATCGATGAAGGTTCACAACAGCATCAACTGACTTACCTCCCCTGCCTAAAACTCTACGCCTGACTTCTGCTTTACACACGTGATGACGCCACAAAACAACCTATGCTACGATGGCAATGGTCGTCAAACACCTGAAGCCTTCTCAAATCTTCAACCTTCAATGACCATGTTTCACAGCAATACAGTAGAACAGAGAGGACTGAAGCATACATTCGACCCTTAATAGACAGTCGAATATCACGGCGGAGTCACAGATGGTTTAAGTTGGCAAAAGCCAACCAAGTCCTTTTTACCCATGCAGATTTTAGCGGCGACTGAGCCACTAGGGCTTATCCGACTTCCAAGGTAAGTATTCAACGCGCTCAACCACCAAAATTTCAATTGGTGACCGTGGTACCGTTGAAGACCAATCCTGGAGCAACAATTTGCATTTGGGCGGTGAGAAACGCATCCCAAACATTCTCGGATTGCCACCCAAGGTGCCCCGGAGGCTCTGCACCTTGTCAGTGTCTTCACCCAACAGGACTATGTCATCTGCATATTTGAGGTTTACCAAACAATCTCCTGTGATTCAGTCAATTCACGTGTAGTCAGATGACAAGAGGGGGTCTCCATAAGAAAGTCTATGCTAAAATTGAATAGGAATAAGAGTGAGTATCTTTGACCTACACCACTCGGCGTACACAGCTCACCTGATAACTCATCACAAGCTCTAATGCGCTCACGGATGTTCGAATATAAAGCACTTAACAGAATGATGTCCTTCTTCGGTACCCCTTTCAGTGAGACATTACCATAAGACATCTCGATCGACGGAGTTGAATGATGTCTTTAGGTCGAAAAATACAGCTGACGTCGGGCGTCAGTGTTCCAGAACTTGGTTGAGTGTGGATATTTGGTTGATACGTCCATGCAGAGGTTCGAAGTTTGTCTGGCTTTCTCAGGTTTGCTGTTCTCGAGCTCCACTTAGGCGTCAAAGAATTATAAAACCTGGAATTTTAGATACTACGTTCGTCAGGTTGATTCTTCTGTGGTTATCACAAGAGGGTTTCTCGCCTTCCTTGAAGACTGGGATAATGAGTGATTCAGTCCAGTCAAAGGGATCATATTTGACTTTCATACACTAGTTAATACTTCAGTTGACTAAAATCATTCTACCACCATCCTTAAATACCTCAGGAACTAGTCCGTCCGGACCTGCTGCTCTTCCTTAATCCAATCTACCTACCGCTTTCTCGACTTCTGACGGGTCTATCTCAGTACCCGACTGGATAGTGGACAACGCAACAGTAGCTGAAGACCAGCTGAACTGTTCTTCAAAGTGTCCCACCTATCGATTCAGTCGTCTCCCCTGCGCAAATCGCTACCTATCCTTCTATGCTATAGTCTTACTAACCGTTGACTTTTTCGTCTCAGTTTCCGTAAGTTTAAATTACTGTCAACTGTTACCTATCGCCGCTGCTTTAACATCTCTTTAGCTTTCGCTGCCCACTACATTTCGCGGCCATTGCATAGACTTTTTGTCAGTCCACATTTGAGTTGCGTTCGCTCCTCATCGTATTCAGAGCCTGCAGGGATGCGTTCGCGTGTATCCATTAATTCAAAAGAAGCTGCTGATATCCACTGGCTCCTTTCAACCACTATTTCAGAGTCGGCTACAATCTTCAGCGCCGTTTTCACACCAGACTGGAGATGACACCAAGCTTCTGGATGAGTGATAGTCTTCTGTTCCGATAACTGCCTAGCCAGTTTCTTATTGAAACCGGCTTATAGTCCTCTCATTGTCGAGTTGCACTCGTAGTGGTCTTGTTGCAAAACTTTTCCACGTCCATTGAGATGCAGACATATACGTGCACGAACCAACGCATGGTCGCTATCCAAACACGCACTCCAGGAGGAGCGGCAATCTTCCAGCAATAGCTGATAGTAATGTAGTCTGTTTATGTCCATTGCTGAGTTGAGCTCGGAAGACGCTACATCAGATAGTGTTTTTCTTTACGTCTGAAGTTTGTGCTAGCTAGAAATAAATGATTATCTAAGCACAGTTGTAGCAGGTGACCACCGCATTCCGTTTCTTCAGCTGGGGTTCCGAAAGTGCCACCAAAGTGCCTTTTACTTGACTTAGCCTACTTACTTGAGCATTGAAATCTCATGCAACAGTAACCGCATCTGAACATTTCGTTTTCAGAAGGAGGCTAGACAGTTTTCGGTAGAGCTTATCCTTCACTTCATCCAAATTGCAGTCAGTGGGTGAATAAGCAGACATTACAAAAAGACAACTGCAAGTTTCACAATCCCTTTAAGTTCCCACCGAACCGTTCAGTTGGACGGCACATAGGCGACTGTCAACTGAGATCCAGTCTAGTAGTGAGCTATCTGTTCAAGTGCTTAGTGCTATGCCTACACCTGCAAGACCGCGAGGACTGGTCATTGAATCCTCAGAAACTCGAAGGGTGAATTTTGCAGATTCGTCATATTGACCAGGAGAGGTAAAGTGAATGACTGTATTTGGGTTCTGTGTGTATCTCACGAACACAGTACACATCTATGGTTCAAGTTACTAGTTTTGGCTAAGGAAGATTATTAGCTAAGTTGACGGAGGGTGCGCGCATTGAAGGCTCCAATGTGTAATTTGGAGCGTGGATTTAAGAGACCAAGGATGTTGTTCTGTGGATTCAGATCGTTGTCGAAAGCTGCACAGCCAGAAGGAATTAAAGATGTAGGATTGTTACCCAAGAGACATGGAGGAAGATAAGGTAAGAATCGGAGAGGCAGGTAGTGGTTTGAGGGAACTTGAGTGCTGACAGTTGCGAGGGCGGTTGACACTTCTCAGCTGCCCACACAGTAGAAGGCTAGGTCTTCTTGAGGTACCTGAAAAATAAGGATTAGTGCATGATCCCACAGCCGATGGGACATCTGCTAGAGGCCAGTCACGCACGGTCTCTCCGATGCCACGAAAGTCAGCCTATATCACGGAAGATGTGGTCGGACGTACATCATGTGGTTTTGGACCACCACTAACCACTGATCAGAGCCGTTATGGGGCATCATTTCATTGTTTAAGGGTAGGAATAACATGGATTCTGTTAGCATGTGTAACACGACAATATCATCCGTGTAATTCAGGTTGGTTAGACGTCCTCAAAGGAGACGGTCAATCCCTGCAAGACCAGAGGTATCTAGAATAGTCGATTATTACATCTACAAGGAAGTTGAAGAGGCATACCTCGGCGGCATGATTGGCTGTCATCAATTCGCAACCCTGTATAAATCCTTTACACGGCTGCGTAAGTTCCAGAACATTTGATTAGTGTTACATATACACTCGGTACTTCAGGTAGTCGGACACTGCCGCAACACCTCATAGTCAACAGGGTCAAATCCCGCCTTCTGGTCAAGAAATGTGGCAAGCATCGGCCGCCGATGAGCATATCTATGTTTCATAACCTGTAAATGGGTAAGACTCGAATTGATGCGCCCTCGTCTAGGTCTGAACCGTCAGGTTTTCCGCATTTGATATTCGCGAGCTCTAGCTAGGCATCGGATAACTACGAACCCTAAGATCTGGGATACTTAACCAAAGTGACTCACGAAGTTAAGCAACGACAGACCTAGTTAGTACTTACAAGAGTGACCGACTGGGAATAGTGCGTTATGAGCCTTTTGTCAGCGATCATATTACGGTCCTCGTTTAATCGTCAAGTAAATGACTCTGAAACAATCAGCTGACATCCCTTCAAGTTAAAACGCATTTTGAGGACGAAACGCTCACCAAAAAAGGGTTTAAAAGGACTTCTTGACGAAGTGAACCTATTGTACACACTGTAAATGTTCCTTAGTTTATCACTAATAATCCATTGGGAAGGTCAAGCTGAATTTTAAGTAGCCATCTCATTTTCATTTTAAAAGCCGGTTACCGCTCCAATTCTACTCCTCAGGCTTTTTCGTGAATTCGATGACTCAACATATGTCCTCATCAGCTACTGATCCAATCAAGTTAGAGGAAGTAGTCCTTTGACAAGAAATATCGCTGGATTGAAGTTTCATGCTATTGATTAGCGCCAGTTAACATTCCCAGTTTGAGTTCAGAAATTTTCCGGGTTATTTACGAAGCCTCGAAGTTAGTTTCGGACAACCTCCCCAGCCTTTCATGTCATTTTTTCTCCTCAGAATCACAGCCTTGTCCAAGTGATCTCGGGAATGTGAAAGCAGTAAATGTTATTCGGTTCTGCCCTCTGGCAGGTCATTATGCAGACACTTATATTGGCTGCCTAAAGTTACTTAGCTGCTCAGTGATTGAGGATGCTGTACTACCTTGTCGAATACACTTCTGTTCATATCGACTTTATGGCCAAGATCTCGCCAGGACAGATTATTTCTGGCGTCATTTCACAGCATTTAACTCCAAACACTTAAAAAAGCGACCACTGCATTGAACTTAGCAAGCAAATAGTAAAATTCATCTGCAAAGTCTTACTTGTCAGAAAACAGTAAAAGGGACTGATAGTTAATACTCACCCGGCTTTAACGTAACCATGTAAGATCTGACAATATATGTACACATTCGGTTTCAGTCCGTATTCCCGGAGCAAGCGCAAGATGGCACTAAAAGATATTATCATTTAAATTAAATTTTACTGTGTCTGATTCATATCACCAGCAGTACAACTTTGACGTATCAAGGCAGCGAATATCCGCTAAAAAAATAGAATGCATGGAAATCGAACTTACGACATTTGGAATTATGCCAGCATCTTGTAAATCCCTAAGAATACCCTCGTAGTCAAAAGGAATCCCCATCTTGACTTTCACGTGTAAATACTTTTCGGTCAAAAATATGTCACCCTCTGCATATTTATGTTGTGATGTAATCGATATCTCACCCTTAAGGATTCTATCCCAGAACCCATCAATCTTTTTCTCATTCTCCTTAGCACGGTGTAGTACAGACTTAAGCCTGTGAACTTGTAACCAACGAATAATTTTATCCAGGTCTTCAGTATTGTTGGCGTTCCATGATAATTCATTTCGGTAGCTTTCATTATTCACTTCCGAAATAATGGACGAATGCAGCCTGCTTTGGCATGCCTCAGGCTTTATCAAACCCAAGTGCTTTGACACAGCCCTGCTAGAGAACAGCAAACGAGCTCCAAAACGCAATAACCCAGACATGCAGCAGACACGTTTTGAAATTCCGAAGCCGCCTTGAACTTCAAACTCCAATCTTGCGTTGTATTTGTGGCGAACAATGGTAATTTGGGTTCAAGGCCTGTCTCAATGGAATGTCTTCCACCTCTTGAATGTTCACTTGTTTCCCATATCCAAACCACCTACAAGTACAAAAACTGTCAACCAATTTAATATCCAATATCCGTCTAAAGAGCTTGTGTAAACCAGTTGATTTCTCCGTGCTGGCTTCTCGGTCTTGCGGAATGATTCCAGGTCTTTGGTAGATTCCGATACAGTATATCCAGCCACTCGTCTGCTAGGGCTATGGTATACAGAACAGGAGGTCGAGTATTGGTTAGTTTGCTGGGGACTGAGGTCCAGTTGGATTCTTCAGATGTTGAGTTGCCAGAGAGTTGTTTGGACTGGCCGTAATATAGGGTCAAGGATAGTGAAGAGATGACCTAGGAAGACAAATATGTGAGTAAAGGACAAAGAAGAGTGAAGTGATGGAGTAATCTACTTACGCCCAAGTGAGATGAGAGGGGTGCAAAAACATGTAGAAATTAGGTAGATGAGGCTAATTCATAGCAAGTGATAGGGATGAGATGGGTTTAAATGATTACGATAGGAAGGGAAATGGTGTAGAGGCAACATGGTTGGAATGGTGTGACAGCAGTTGATTTCTTCTGTCTAGTTCGTGTTCCAGCTGGATGTGCGTAAACTTTGGGCCTCTGTGTTTCCAGCGCCTCTTCTTGAAATTTTCAACAGATGGGGGGAAACTGTCTCTAATGACAATGGATTCCAGTGCCCGCAGAAGTGTGGGCACACACGAGTTTTTGAACTTTGGTGGACAATTCTCGTTGGGTTTCCGCGAAGATCACCACAGTGACCACTTGGCCGTATTCCTCTCTTCGGGTGACTTTGGTTCCTAAGTATTTCATTAGGCATTATCAAATCACCTCGTAACCTTCGGTAACTATTGGAGTGTATGCCTGAAACCTTTAGTCCACTCTCACGTGGTTCTTGTTGCATCCTAGCAACCCCTTTCGTAACTCACCTCTGAACCTTCTCCGGGAGGTTAGTGCCTCTTTTCAGTTTTAGTGGGACGAAAACGTTATAAACCTTCAAGTGAGGTCGTATGTAGGTCTTGTAGAGTTTCGGAAAGAGCTCTGGAGTGGGTGCACCTGGCTGTTTGCTTACAAAGTATAGCACGCTGCGTTTTTAAGGAGTTGCCTTGGTAACTGGGACTGGTGTCCAATTTCTCTATCACCATTAAACAAGGGTCCTTTTCTGCTGCGCGTGAGGGAAAGATATGAACCACAGAGAGAGACAGACAGACAGACAGGCAGACAGACAGACATACTTTCTGTAGGTTAAGACTGCGGAAAAACGTGGACCGATATGTATCTAGGCTAAACGCCAACTCATTATTTGTCGTCCACTCCTCTAGTGTTTAGAGGCTGTCCCGTAGTGCGTACAATTCCATTCCACGCGTTAGTGCCCTCCATAACTTGACGTCAGCATAAAGAAGAATGGGGGGCTAAAAAACAGTGGAAGGTCATTCACGAACAGTAGGAACGACAACGCACTCAGGATTTCTCCTTGTGAGACAACAGACGATGATGCCCTCAAAGTTGAGTGGATGGTGTGTAAGTGTCAAAAGCTTTGGGACAAATCCAGAAAAATCACGTGACCCGAGACCTTGAGGTCCCAGCATGCTGTCCAGCGGTCAAGTGCTGTCTTGAGATTGGTCACAGGACCCGCCCTTTCGGAAGGCGTGTTGAGCATCACTGAGTGCTTGCTTTGCTCCGGGATATTCACTGATGCGGTCATCTGTCACACTTTCCGTAACTCTTGATACTGACGATAAAAATGCTATTAGTCGGTAGCAGTTCGGATTCTGCCCGTCTCCCCATTGAAGATAGGGGGGAAGACAGCCCGTTTCCACCCCCGTGGGATTCTCTATTCACCTAATGAGTGTTGGAAAAGATTGCAGTGTGCCACGTAGGGTACTCCCACGTTTCAACGCAGATGGCTGAATGTCGTCGCACCATGGGGATTTTCTATCACCTAGCCATAATAGCCCATCAAGAACGGCAGCCCGAGTTATCTGTAGCTCTGCCTCGCATAGCTCCTCCGCGTCGGATGACGTTGGGGGCTGTGGGTGTATGTGCTTTGGTGATGGTGTGTTGGGCTACATTTCAAACGCGGTGCTGAAAATTCCTGCAATCTAAACACAGTAAAGTTCTCCGTTCGAACCTTTTATAACGCGCGCTCCCTGGTTTGTGGATTTTCTCTTCGACATGAGCCGGCACAGACTTTTTGAGTTTACTGCAAGCTTCCTAATGAGGTTTAACTGTAACGACTTCATGTCTCCCAGCACCCCAACGTTGCATCGATTTCAGGGAGGTGTATATGCATTGCGATCGTCTTCTTCCCTGGAGAACTTCCATTCATGCCCTTGGTTTCCTCTTGATCCACAGGAGGAGCTCACTGCCTCTCTTTAGCCACGAGATCCGCCTTCCCAGCACTGTAACCAACAAGGGGATGTTTTCAGAAACCATCGCGCTCACTGGTGTCTCTGACTAGTTCCCTTTGCTGGTCAACCTCTGACGAGAGCCGATCTACTGGCCATAGAGCTCTCGGTAGGCTCTGATTCATTCCCTCGTGGTTCTCCCTGCTGTAACAGGGGTGCAGGCGAGGTCCCTCCCACGATAATTGTTTGCGGATTACCATGTCGAACAGTACCACAGTGTGTTCGCTGCCTACAAGAGCAGCTGGGAGCTGGACGTTTTCAACCATTAGATGATCACTATCCAGTAATTAGTCCAGCTTAGATGTTTTACCATCTTCCCCCCTGCGGGTATCACCGCCAATCTTCTTGTACACCCCGTCCATTTGGATGGCATTTAGCAGGCTGTGTATAAAGTTCCGGTTCGGAGTCATGTTGGGGGCGTTAAAGTCGCCAGCCATTAGGATCTGTTCATACCCCACGACTGACATTGTGGACATCACTTGGAGTAATTTTTGGTTGTGTTCCAAGCTGCTATCAGGAGATATATAGACTCCCCCAACCAGGCGCTTAGTGTGCCTGACCGTAAAGTGGCACCAGAGTGAGTCTGAGAGTTCTGTCAACACCGTGTCAGTATTTCGTTCACATCTGAAACGACTGTCCATGCATATCGCAACCCCTCCTCTGTCCTTGTGTTTCCTGTCCCTCCTGAACAAATACATGCCGTCTATGTTAACTTCGGTGTCAGTAATATCTGGCGATATAAATGTTTGCGTTGGTATTGTAATTTTTGGAACGAGGTTGGAACAGAGGGATCAGAGCTCTGATGTTAAGAAACCTGAAAGTGTCCTCTAGCAATAAGGCATGTCTGTGAGCTAAGTAGTAGCACAGGTTTGGATGTGGTGGGGATCTCCACTGACTGACCAGTCCTAATGGAAGCAACCCAGTTAAGTTTTTCCCAGGCTGACTGGCGCGGTCAGCTATGGGCGGGGGTTGCCTGCCTGACTCTCGGTGTGTCGGTGTAGGGTGATGGCGACCTGGGCACGGGGAGTGGTTGCAGTTTGCCGTTGTCAAAACTTTCAAGGTCTTCTTCCGCGGCAGCGAACATCCCCGCTTATTGTACTCTCGACTTTATATCACGTCTTTAATACGATGGTGAGGACCTCGCAAAATTAGAAGTTGAGGGTCTTTAGTCTAGGTGAGACCATGGCTTCTGGGTGAGGGGGGCTCGGCGGTCTATCGAGTGCCACCACGGTAACCCCACTTAGCTCCATCGAAGCCAGTAACCACTTCCGCTGTTGGACGTCATGGGTCTGCTCATCACCCGCCGTACCGGTTGTCAGTTAAGGTACTCCAGTTATGACGATGGTTGTGGGTCCTCGTGGACCAGCTGCCTCCTGAGATCTCTTTCCTGATACCCATTATCGGTCAGGTCTGGCTGTACTGCTGGACTATCCGTTGATGACCGGGGTTTGACAACACGCGGGAACCTTTCGGCGTCTTTAGTCGGGCATAGAGTCGCTCTCATCGGCGGAGGCCTCTCTGAGCTTGAGAGGGTGTCTTTGCACGGTCGACAGAGTTTTGTCTTGAGGGCGTCTGGACCTAGCATGACACAAAGGAAGTCCCACCTCCGTGTATCAGGCGCGTCTTTATGCTCCAGGAGGCCTGCATTGCAGACAGGAACGTTAAATTATTGATAGATCCATATCGGCCAGAAATGACTACATTATCTGATAATATCGGTGCGTTTTCACGGATAATTCGGGGTCTTTTCTCTCCCCCAACCCACTCATTATGTTGTCCACCGATGGCTATCGCCGATGTGGCTTCAGAGAGTGGGCTGGATGTGGTTGTCCTCGGTGTGGGCAGAAGTTTGTTCGGTTTCGGCCCACTTGGGTCTGTGACCTTCTGTGAGTTATTACCGACAGCTTTTGGAAAGTGAATCTTCACCACAGCAGTGGTTTGGATGAATATCTTATCTCCGGCGGCTGCCGGGAGTTTATCACCTACTCCAAGTGAGCCCGAAACTAAGCGCGGTCTCAGACTGTACCGTGGGCAGCTATACCGGAGTGGGTGGCGCGTCATAAAAGTGTAGTTCTGATTTGGTAATTCTCCGTCACATCGTCAGTGCTTTGACCTGTTGCACTCAGAGGCAGCATCACTCTTGGTTACAGTGAGAGCGCATGTGTGACAGTCGTCACCATGCCCATGAGGCTTATCCAAATGCTTCCGTCTTACTGTTTGACGTTTCCGCCGAGCGGTTTTCACGGGTCGGTCGGGTAGATTCTCGGTTCATTGCGGGGGTCTGCGCTTACTTGGCCGAGGACAGTGACATTTACAGTGCCTTGTGGATTGTGGGCTTGGCCAACTTCGAGTGTTGCCGGCCGTGGCCGTCCGGTTGAGTTGACCTTGGTGGTGTGTTAGTGCCCTCCAAAGCTTTCTTCGTCACGCACTGACGCCTCTCAGCTCCAGCCAGAGCGAATGCCGAGGG